ACCTCCATCCTAGCCTCAAGACTTTCTTTACAAGCTTGACTTGTATTTTTCTCCACAGTCTTCCCTGTCCCTGCTGAAGAAAAGCAGCCCCACAGCATGAGGCTGCCACCACCATGTTTGACACTGGGCACTGTGTGGGTGTTAGTGTTAGAAAGCAATAGTTTTCCAACTTTTCTAAACCTATCTTTAATAAACCCATTCAGAATGACTATTATGTAAAATAATGAATGTTGAAAAGTAAACATATGGCCAAATCAGATCTCAGTGAAGTCCCATTCAAAGATGCGTCCCTTTGCCTCCAGTATAGAAAAGTATGTCCTGTAGCTCCTGCTTATATAAGATAAACCTGCTAACCTCAATGACGCTAATCTGTAAGACAAGTGGATCACCTTCTCCCCTGCCCCCTCAACCCTGCTCTCGCTCTCGCACTCTTGTCTGCTTGTCTGTCTTTCTGCATCGTCAAGATTTCCGCCACATTTCACACACTATTTGACTATTGTTTCAATCCATGAATCAGGCTTTGATTTACAGATTCATTAATCTTTGGCTGAGAGTAAAAACAGTGAGCTGACAGTTCCCTTCTCTCCTGCTGACCTCTCCGTTTGACTCGACAAGTGTCTGGTTTCAAAAGAGCCATTCAAAAATGTACATGCTCCTGTTTGGTCATTTATTATAACAGTTTTCTCTTTTAAAAGTGAGAACAATGTTATAATGGACAGGAAATGCATAGGTTTCTATTGTTGCATATGTTCTTGTCGTTGCATAGTAGAAGCAAGTTGCAAGTTGTGTCAGGCTTCACAGATCTGAATTAAGTAATTGTTCAGGCTAACCGTAACAGACATATACTTTAAGCATGAGAAGATCATTCATGCGGTGTACGTTACAATTATAGAAAATTAAAGTGGAGATTTGCAGACACTACATCACACACTTGGAACTGGATCTGTGGTTAATTAAAGCTGGAGTACCAAACCTTTTTTTTCATTTGATAAATACATTTAGTTTGCCCCAACAGAAAGTGCATTGTTTAATTGTTTACCAAACAGACCACAACCGGCTGTATTTATCTTTCTTTTAAGTGATTGAGGAAAAACAGGTTTGTGAGGCCAAAAGGGCAAGAATGGAAATACTGGCGATTGAAACCAACCCGTTTTGAGCACTAGGAATTACTTGCATAGTTTTAAAAGCTGCCACTCCAAGTTTTAAGTAAAAAAAACCATCCATGATAAAACAAAACCAAAACATGTTGTTTTTTTATGTGAGCTATACAACGCTAAGAGCACTATTCAAACTCCCTTATAGAGATGAAAACACCCATTTAAAAATCATCAATATATACTGTTTATTAAATTAGGAAATTCGGATCTCGTTGATCTTAACACAGCAATTGTTTTCCAAATGTAGGTTTAAGCTTAGAGAGACTAACTGGGACTGAAGAAGTACAGGATTATTTCAAAAAGATAAAGTATTACACCTGCTAGGCTGCTAATATTAAAAGCAGGTGTATTTCACTTCAGAGAGGAGATCTCTGGAACAGTCTGGAAATGCTAAAAGAAGCCACAACATTAAAAGCCTTTAAAAGACTTAAAGAAAATATAACAAAACATTATAGCACGGTAGAATGATACAAAAATGGATGAACTATGAAAAAGTGAAAATAATGTGCAACTAAACTATTATGGATGATGATTGGTTGTTTTTTAGTCAACCATTTTGCGAACTGTCCCCTGTTTTGTTTTACTACTACTAATACTGCTTCTACTATATAAAATGGATGGTTTGTTGAATTGTATTTTTATTTCCAAGGACTTGAATCATAATTATAAAAACTGAGCAGAGGGATTTGTGAAAGTCCACACATTTACAAAAAGGTTATGGAAATTTTCAAAGCAAGAGATGGAAAAGAACTTCAATGAAGCCAATCGTGACCGTGGAAAAGCCATCACCCAAATCCTTTTGAGGCTCAAACTGCACACAGGTAAAAACACCTCCAGGATTTACTAAAATACATCATGTAAGATGTAGCTCTAACAATGTGTTTCCCCACCTCGGCTCGACTAATATACCGCTCTCATTTTGTCTAGAAAGTAAATTAAAACTTCTCTGTGCCAAACCACAATAATAAAGAAGGGATTAAGAGAAAGCCAGACTTCCAATTTGAAGAAGTTTCATCAGGAGATTTAAGAGCGCGAGTAAACGAGACTCCTTTTGAAGCAGCGGAGCGGGAGTGGTGATTGTTGTACTTAGACAAAACCTTTATGCTTTCAGGGTGTGGAACTAGAGCCATGTAAGCCTGAGTGATATGATTGGGAGGCTAATTAGTTTCATGTGTAAGGCATTAATGCAAAGCTATACTTTGAACCGGGCACTCATCAGATTGGAACATATATGCCTGGTATTATATTGACTGGTTTCTAAAGTTATGATTGATGGAGACGTTTCACATTTCTGTTTGTTCCATGAAAAGTCTTGGTCTTAGCAAAAAAAAAAAAAAAAAAAAATTGTCAATCAAATCAATTATGGTGATTAAAGCTATCGCACTGGATTGTTGTCATGTACGATGCATATTGTGTATTCCGTTAGTAAGAACACATGCCATCTTATTTTTAGTGAACGCCTTATTTTTTGCAAAATTTTAAGAAGGAGGGTGAGACGTGATTGGCTGACGATTGTATAACATAGCTTAATTTTCTGTGGTTTGAAAGTTAGGTACCCCTGCTTTAACTGAAACCCACTGAGGGCAGTATATGTGATCCATTTCACCTCTAGTATCTGGTCTCATTATTATTTGGTAATATTGAATATCTAGGGTATTGATGAATAGAGGGTTGAAGTTTAAACCAGCGCTAACTAGATCATGTTCTCGGAGAGCGCATACCCCGCCAACACCACGTCCTAAAATATTAATATCTCATCCCATCTACACACCACACTTCAGATCAATCTTGCCTATATAGACACACACACACATACAAATATTCTTTATATTTATGGAAAAACTCATTATTTGACAACATTATTTGTTTCATTTATTTTAATGGTGAAAACATTGTATATATTTTGACCCATTTTACATAAAGCATGGCAACAACAAACGTATTGAGAACATTTCCTTTGAAGCAAAATCACATATTCATAAACTGCAACATTTGCAGTGCCTCATACATTTATATATAAAAATAATAACATCATAAAAATAGACAAAGACAAACACTTTTTCTTTTTTTTCTCAAAATGTTGATTGTAAAACACTGCATTACAGAAATATATTTTCCCTCTCAGACAATGTTTACAATACAGGTGACCCACAATCTCACAATCATTATTTTCTTTTAGGCACAATCACTAAAGGACAGACAGACTGGAGCAAGAGACTGTGCAGCTGTTAGAACGATTAAAATGATTGGAATAATAAGTAGAATTTGTGTGTGGCACTGAGAGTTGCTGGTTTTTTTGCTGTCCAGAAACACGACATTGTTGTGATAATTGGCGAAGCTGAAGCACATATATACAGTTAGATGTTTATGAAGTGTTAAACAAAACAGACAGAAGTGGAGCGACCCTATTCCAAACACATTGATGTCTGATTCAAACAGAGCAGCTGTAGTTAGTATTACCCCATCACCAGTTGCACCCATCTGTCCAGACTCTCTCCTTTCTCCTCTCACTCAACATTCTCTGGAGATTCAGCCTATGGCTAATTTAGGTCACACAGCTAATTGTTCAGCACTAAGCTACATTTTACAGGGTTGACTGTATTGTTTTTATTTAAAAGGTTTGTGAACCCTGAAGTCCCCGATGAGCTCAAGCTCTTGAGTGGAGCCTGAGGAATTCCCTGTCCGGGTGCTACAGCAAACAGTGTGTCATCATTCGAGGTGTCGGCAAATATCTTTCCTAGAGGAAGCATCTGAAGGCCCCTCCTACCCTTTTATGTTCAACGTCCCTTATACAGAAGCACTGTCACTTGCTGACAATAATATACATTAACAACCTTAGTAATTCCCAAGAAGTCAACTAAAACTATGTTTGGTTTCATGTGCACACCGTGTGCACCAGTCATCCAATATTAACACATTTGACGCTTGCTTCAACTTGTCCCAGAATTCCATCTGAATTGTAGATGTTGAAGAATGTAGTCATTTTTCAGTATGTGTACATTCATGGCCCTATGTAGAGCCTACCCTTGTGTGTCCTATGCACCAAGAAGAGCTGAAGTCCACATGTGATTATGAGCTCGGCGCACTGGGACTGCCTCACGGGGCACTAGGCACTTGTACAATAAACACTTATACACTGAGACACAAGAGTCATGTCCCCATCACAACTGGGTAGTATCAAAACAATCAAATAATCTTTGGTCTGTAAACAACCAAACTCCAATAATCTGTCATGTGACTTTACCAGAGCTGCAGATATCGGTTATTTTAGTAATCCAGTATTCTGTTAACCCTTAACCCTAACCCATTACCTTTGATCAATCAAGTAACCCATTAACATGTTTACACCAATAACCGTATATTAACCATGTATTTTAGAAGAAAAAAAAATTGAAACAATATTTCAAATGCCTTAACTGTTGAATCATTCTTCAGAGCAGTCTTGGCACATGTGTAAAACAAGTGCTGGATCTAGTTCTGTGCACTTGACGCACCACATTTTCACATATTTTAAGTTATTTATTCAATTATTCAAGGCAAAAGAATTATAATCAGAGCTTTAGTTTCTTGAAATCTATTATTTCTATGAGTTGTTTCAGCCCTCGTCCTCACAATAGACACATTCAGACCACAGCAGCAGCAGTCCAATCACTCACATACTGAAGTAACAGAGTTAAGTCGCTTCATTTTCACCACCACAATTCTAAAATGTGAGATTTTCAAATCCAACTATCTCTTATTTGGCAGCCATATAAACTTATGCTGAAAAATAGAGCTTTGATGCAAAACATTATCCTCTCAGAAGAGTCTATAAGGCTCTGAGCAGCAGGAGTGGTGCCAGGCTCAGTTACAGGGCAGCCAGGTGGAGTAGGCCGGCTGCTGGCAGGCAAACACAGGCTGAACCTGTGCAATATAGTAGTTACTAAAGTTACCGTCTGCAACATAAGGAGCAGGTTGGTAGTAGCAGGTGACGTTGGCTACATTGGGAATGACATTCTGCTCTGCCAGGACACGCACCGCTAACATGGCTATAAGTCCTAGGGTCTGCCGCCTCTCATGTCCCATCAAGCACACCGTACTCTCATTGACTACCCCATGAAGAGTCATTAGATAATCATACTTGCGGTCCTCAAGGCCCACAAAGTGATTCTGAAGATATGACTCCAGTTTACGCTGCTGCTCACCAATGTCAGGGAAGTCAATGAAAAACCGTGAACACATGTACCTCTGCAGAGACTTCATCTCAGTTTCAGAGGCCGCCCTGAAGTCCCTCACCAACAGGTGGCAGTACTTGAGCAGACCCCCACCCCGGATCTCCTCTGGGTTGCGGGTGCAGATGATCTTGTGCTCTAGGTGGTCCAGAGCCTCCCTGAAGTGGCCGTAGACACTTTCTCCCATAATTGTGGGATGGAAGGTTTCGGCCATGGGGTTCTCAGAGCATTCATAAAACAACAGCAGAGAGTCCAGTTTAATTTGAAACGAGTCAACGCTGAATTCAAACTGTCGCCTCAGAGAGTCCACAAACTTCAGCTCCACATTCTTCCCTCGATTATTGGACAGAGAGATGAGGCTCCAGCGGTCCGAGTCAGTGCACACCTTCACCATCTTCTGCACATATGCTTCCTGTATCCAGCAAAGTGAGAGACAAAAAAATACATGTGTTAATCTCAGGAAAAGCAAGTGTGATGAAATAATCAGTTCGTAAATGCAAAATGAATGTGTTAGATAACCAACATTGGAGAGTATAAGCTTGGGGTTATTAATACTGGTGACCCAAATATAAGCTTCTAGTTGGATGTGGGACATAGGTGGCTGAGCTCAGGATCCCTTCTTAATTGGTTTAGTCTAATCCTTGTAACCACAGAAAACTTTACTATCACTGAACTAATCTAATTACCTATTAGGCTGTGCATAATAGTCTTTAAGCCTATGCAGTTGAAATACATGAAATGCAAATAAACAATTAAAAAAAACCTACCTTTAAGGTTAGAGGTGTTATTTTCTCTTTATTCACACAGTCAGGTAAGAAGTCCAGAAGACAGTCGAGCACTATGTCCTTCACAATCTGGAAATCACTCTCTCCTTTCATATGAGCGCAGAAGATGAGATCCAGGTCCTTGTAGCCCAGTCCGCTGTCTTCGTGGAGGACGTGACTGGCCGCAGAGCCGTTCAGACGCACCTCTCGGACGTGAATGTGCTTCTCTTCCATACGGCTCCTGACCACCTTCACAATCTGCTGCGGCTGCATTTGCAAAGTGGGGAAGTTGCCCCTGCCGTGGATCGGGATGGTCTCCGTTAGAATGGAGTCCAGGCGCTGGACTTGTTCCCAGCTGAGCACACTCACGTTTGGGTTTTCACTCTCGCTCAGCGAAGTGACCACGGAGCTCTTTTCTTCTGACATTATGCTGAAGGATGAAGAAAAGATCAATGCAAATCAATGAAGCCTTTAATGACGAGCGTACGCACTCAGATGTAATTAATCTGGGGGAGAATCCATCAGGTAGTTATTGTTCAGATTTGAGCTGCTCAATACTACAGTAAGATGCGCAGATGTGCGGAGATCTGAACTTTCCCAGCTCTGGTCTACAAACTACAGCGCATCTGTCAGTCTGAGGGTTACTGATGAACCAGGAGGAGAGCTCCCCTTTCCGAGCGTGACTCCATCGCCTCAGGGCACGCCTTTGATTTGATGAATTTGCATGAATAAACTTCTGTCCAGCTCCTCCTCTCCACACTGTCTAATCACAGCTTTGCCTTATGAATCTCTGCGCATCTCCTCCTGCCTCTTTCGTCAAGAATGATTTACTCGGAAAATGTGCCACTTGTTGGACGCTCCCTGCGTGTGCGCTCCTGGTCAGCTGTGGTCAGTCCTGTCCTGACGCTGAGGCTGAAGCATAGACTGAAGTCTGCTCCGAGGAGCGGGGCCAACATCTCCACGCCCCCAGAGTGACAGCCTCCGCTGGATTAGGCATGACGCGCGGCTGCGTTGCTTTCTTCGTACATTAAAAACAATACAGTGTGATTTCTTTTAGATTGTTGAACTGACAACGTCATGTTGATTAAACAATTTGCAGTAACATGTATCTACACACATCTGTTTGAGGCCGAAGCTTCTGAGTCTCCCTCGGCTCTAAATCCATGGTGTGCCTACTCTACATTCCCGTGGCGCCCCCTGTAGGCCCATTTTAACAGGTGTAATGTAATGTAATTGGGTGGCCGACGTGCACTGCAGGAGCATAATTTATGCGATTAGGTAAATGCATCTTTTTCCATTTAAATGAGGCTGTAATCAAACAATTCTTCTCATCCTAATTCCCCTGTTATCACAAATACAAAGCTTGGCTCTTTACTAGACTATAGTTTGTGTGGCCTTTGGAACAATGTTTTACATCTAAAATCTCTGCTCTAACAAAGCCAGTCCTTTGGAGTAGACTCCAAAATATGTATTATCTTAGGTCAGCAGTTCTTGCAAACCTAAGGTCAGAGACACATATCAATGGACCTCTTGGGCAAAGCCTGAAGCTGCTTGGTGACCTCATGATCTCATTTACTCTCTGGCCCTGGCTTACGTCAAGCCCGCGGCCACAGGCTCAGGAGCACTGCTCTGTCAGCTTTGAGATGAATGAGACAAGAGTAGTTTTTAATTGTGTTTGCTTTTCACGCTTTTCCTTGATACTATACAGACAGGTTGTGAAATCCAATGCCACATCTGGAAATATCTATACAGCAGTCAGTGTGGAGCAAAGAGGAGACCAGAGTATGAGTTTTACTCATGTGGAGGACTCCAGAGATATAGCAACTCGTTCAAAGCACAATGTGAAGTAAATATGAGACTATATATATTCAGTGGTACACAAACAGACCGGTGGTACTTTATGAAGAAGGAAGGACATCTGGTGTTGATCCAAATCCTTCACAAGAATAACTGAAAACATCATTTTTATTGACACTTGCTTTTGTATTTACCTGAAAACAAATGTCTAGGCAATTAAATACAAATACATTTTGTCATGTATAGCCTCATTTATCTCACTATGAGGGCCTTTATTTATAAATGTCAGCAATATTTCAGCAGACAAAGGTGATATCTTTTCACCTTAACATCATTTTGTTGATGATTTCCAGCTCAGAGCTTCCACTGCTTTGTTGAATGATGGGAGACTTACAGTATATTCATATATGGGCTTAGAGAAGGGAGTACTACCTCATATAAAAGTATTATTTTGGCCTATAATCTGCCAGGGATACGTGTCAATAATCAACAGTGATGTAAAACAGCCAGCAAATGTGTCATACCCAATGGTGAATTTTCCATTGCACCTGTCGTCACATCTGAAGTCCATTCTTTCATTCAAAGCAGTAACTGGATTTCCAATAAGTTCACCTTCACTTTCCCAGTCTGTCAAAAGAGATTTTCCTTGTGCTGATGGGATAGTTAGTTTTGGGAGTGGTTCAAAGGCAATGGAGGGGACACAAATGAGATTCCCAGTCCTTTTTAGTCCAAAAGAGCTCCTGACACTCATCTCCGAAACCTGTAGAATCACTTGACCGTCGAAAGCATTTCAGGGTTAACTTAGGTATTTCAAGAAGCCTACAGGGACAGTTGTTATATGTGGAAGCTCCTAAAGGTTTGTTCAAAAAGTAAGTTTCATTTTGGCTTGTGTCTCTAGTTGCAAACGTGGGATATCTATGTCGAGGCATATCATAATAAATATGAAGGTAATGTACATAATGTCATCTTTCTCACAAACTTGTTGTGGTTTCAGTCCCCTGTCTGAATATAATGTCCCAAATCCACATTTCAAACAATAATTAACCATTTCATACTTGTAGAGGTCTGAAGTAGATTTAGCAGCATATAGTCCCTGTTAAAGAGGATATTCAACTCCTTTGGAAACAAGACAATAGAGAGGAAGTGAGGAGAGGATTGTAGTGTAGGAAGAAAAGAAACATATTTGTATAGCACATCACAAAAAACAATATTCTGAATAGAGCCAGAACATAAACAAATCACAAATAGACACATCCAAAAGCCTATAGAAAAAAATCTAAATCTAAGTTATTTTCAGCTTGAGGTCTGAAGATCATGAGGCACAAGTAATTCTGTAATATGTATTTTTATTTTTTTTTAAATAGTGACTGTGGAGAGTGTTGTCTACAAACATTCAGTTTTTAAAGTCTGACCTGGAAACCAATTAATATCTTTTAATACACAGTAGACATAACGTGAGATTCTTTTACCTGACTGAGTTGCAATAATGCAAGCTGCAGAATTTTAAATAATCTGCTTTTGTTTTTATTCCTTACAAAATTATTCACACATGTTGGAGTGAAGAATGGACAATTTAGTAACATGAATGATGTGCTGCTTAAGTTTAGGGTGACACTAAAACCTCCAAAGTCCTTAGGCTCAAGACTGGAGGTGAAGGGTTATGATGGAATGTGGTTGGTTATGTGATTGAGGTGCAGCAGTGACGCAAGAACTCATGACTCCAAATATAGAAACGGCATCTTTCTACCTGGACATCAGCTGAAATGTGCCTTAGGTGTACGAAAACACTGCCACACCTCACACTGAAGCTTTTAAGTGGTTCACGCTCTTTGCTTTTTTGATGGATTTCTTCATCTACTGCAATAAACTTGTCAGAGCAGTTACATGTGAGATATATTTCTCTATTGTTGAGATAGTTGAACCCTCAGACTCTAAGCTTGGCTCTGGGCTACTGTTAAGGTATTAAACTAGATCTGCCTGAGGAAGAGGACCGACAGGAGAGGTGACGTGTGTTAGTATTAGATAGCAATATGGCCTACGTGCAGGACTGTACAAGGACTCCATGTTATGACTATGATTTGACTGTCTCTTTGTGACACGTATGTCTTTCCATGTGTGACGTGACAATGACTATATAAACTGTGTACTGCCTTTATTCTGTCTGAGAGAAAGAAACAGAGTAAACCAGTGGAACTTGAGAGAAACTTAAATAAACTTCCAGAGTTTGGCACACCACGATCCGTCTCTGTCTGCTAAATCCTAACAGATTTGGTGGAGAATGCGCGGCTCGGTTTGTGCCATTCTCTGGATTGTTTTGAGGGAGTTTGCTTTGTTTCTTTTTCTCGGCGTGGGAGAGCTGAGAGTGTCTGGGGCCTGGGAGCGGTCCAGCAGGCTGGAGAGGCGACCGGCTCCGGGACTCTTTTTCGCTGTCTCACTATATTTTTTTGTGTCCTGTTTTTTGGACTTAGCGTTTCAAATTGTTTTCCCATGTCCGCATTCCGGGGATTTTTGACGTGCGATTGGTCTCTGCCGATGGAAACTAGTTCCCGGTACTAGTGAGCGCTGGTTCATGATCTGGAGACCTGGTTGGACGTGGAAAAGCTGATATTTGGTGGACTTCTGACGGTGCCTGGGCCCTGTTCAACAAAAGGTAAGAGCGGACACCTGTTTATTCAAAGTCTGCTAATTGAGTGAACTAAATTATGGTCCTTTTTTGAGGTCCACCAAATGTCTAATATCTATAGATAAGGCTTAGAGAGAGAAAGGAACCCCTGACGTATCGGGGTCCCTGTCCTTTGAAGTAGTCAGGACAGAGAGAAAAGGAACCCCTGACGTATCGGGGTCCCTGTCCTTTGAAGTAGTCAGGACAGAGAGAAAAAGGAACCCCTGACGTATCGGGGTCCCTGTCCTTTGAAGTAGTCAGGACAGAGAGAAAAAGGAACCCCTGACGTATCGGGGTCCCTGCCTTTGGAGTAGCCGGGGCAGAGAGAAAAAGGAACCCCTGACGTATCGGGGTCCCTGCCTTTGGAGTAGCCGGGGCAGAGAATAGAGAATAGAAAATAGTTAGTGAAACCATGGTGTAAAATTAAAAGTTATTATAAAAAGGGAAATGTGTTAAAGAGGCCTTTGTTACAAAAGCTTTGAAATTGACGAATTTCAGGCTGATAAATGACAAAAGTTTAAAGAACAACATCAGTTATATTTGCTTAGCAAAGTAATCTTGAAAGTTATTCTTCTGTATCTTTCTGCCTGTGCGTGTGTGCGTCGCACTATCTGCTGCCGTTGTCAGGGAAACGGCCCCCTCCTTCGCTGCTCTGGCTGTGAATCTGAAGCAAAGCTACTGCTTTAGGACTTTTGGCTTTTCATAGTTGTTATTCCGTTAAATTTGCTAAATTTGCCATTTGAACATTGTGTTAGACACAGTTAAACGTTTTTAAACACCATTAGGGAATAGAAGTTTTGAATTAGTATGTTTTTGAAACCCAAAGATTAGTACAAAAAGCTTTGCTTTTCTTTTTAAATCTGCTGCTTATTTTGTGAGTCCATTATTGTATCTCTGATATATTTCATAGCTGTTTGTGAGAATTTTTTCATGTATTTTTTATTTTAGTTACAAAAGCCGTTTTTCAAACATTTAAATTAGAATCTGTTAAAAGTGATTATTGATTATAGACTTCGTCTAAAAAAGAAAGAGGGAATTAGGCTGTAAAAGTATTATATTATTAAGTTAAACTACCCAATTCACATGCAAGTGGTGACTTTTGTTTTTGTTTTGACTACACGCCTGACCTTGTTGCTCCTGCTGATGCCACAGCAGAGGAGACTGGTCTAAAATGTGCTCCAATTCATACTGACTTCATTTGAAAAATGCTGCAATTATTTTAAATTAGTAAAATATATGCTGAGATAAATGCATAGATAATTAATCACACAGTGCAAAAGTACATAATACATATTTTAAAGTTTAAGAAGGTTCAAGAGATTTGAGTCTTGTTTTTTATTAAGAAAGAGTTTCTGGTCTTCAAATGTCATCATTAGTAAGATAATAAGTAATCTTTTATTTACATAGCGCTTGGGAAAACCCAGAGCGCTTCAAAATTGTTTAGACTTCAGAGAGAAAAACAATCTCATTCACAATCTCTGTTGTTTTTAATTTGAC